TTTGATTTAAATTCATTTGACAATGCTTTTCTGAACAAGGCTAAATCTTTCATGTTAGTGTCAGTCTTCGGAAAGTTTATTCCGCAAGCAGTTCATTGTGCCTGCGTTAATAAAAGAAAGAAGGAAGGTCCGCGTAACTAGTGGGATGACGGTCTCCCTTAACATTTTCATGATTGACGGCTAATTGTGCCACCCTTTGGTTCATGAAGCTTATGATATGGTGCTGATTTTCGTTCTTATCCCATCAGTCAGCAATGTAAGTCTTTTAGAAGCAAAATTTACAGCTTTGTGACAAGCATGACCTCTGGTTTCTTGTTTCATCCCAGAGAGTGATACTCATTTACTTGAACGAAAAAAGAGTAGTGAATTCATCTACCTGGATCTGATCCGACATTTCGGTCATAATGCAGATTTCAGTGTGATTCACAGCGTCGGATATCCTATGCGTTTTACTGCTATATGCGAAATGAAAAAAACTCTTTTCAAACGGTGAAAAATCGCACGTCTCGATTACTCTGCTGTTTAAGCTCTTTTAGCCACAGACGACGGTAAAAAACAGTGGCAACAATAACAAGCCCTTTGAACATCACTTTGTTGAAAAAAACGTTTACCTGCATAAGGAATTCACGTAATATTTTTAAAACGAATGATGCTAGATTACTATTTTACACCAGACTCAGTCTTCACGTTGTTCTGACCCTGCCCATTGTTCGTTCGCGAAGCTATTTGATGTCTTTAACTAGCGATTGTAGTATTTCAAACAGATGGAATTGCGTTCAGCATGCTGCATCAAATCGTTAAAACTTTTTCAAAGTTCCATCGATAGGCTTTCATTGCAGTTTTATGACCGCTGCTGCGAGTATCTTGAAGACAGTTGACGATTCTGCTCAAAGCAACGGAATTCTTTGCTGTTAACGTTACTCAGGATGTTCAAATCGACGTCCTTAGCAGTAATCAGGTGGATTTTGTGCCACGCGTGCGGTTTCAGAATTTTTCGAAAACTGATCGCACATTGCGTTAACGACTAACTATAAAAACACTTTTCTTTGAATAGTTTTGCGTTGTGTTCTCTGTTGTCGAACCTGTTGTTTCAGCATCTGGTTCTTTTCTCTTTCGGTGTTTTAAGATAATACTCATTATAGTAAAAATAGCCAGGTGATCTGATTCTTGCTTTTGCAGACGGTGCGGCTGCGCGTGCTGGTGTACGTGAAGGCGATCGCATCATCAAAGTGAATGGTACTTCGGTGGCCGGCTTCAACCATTTGGAAGTCGTCAAACTCATCAGTGGTAAGCATAGTTTGTGAGAGTGTGTGTGTAAGCTTGCTCATTTAACGTGTATTCTCCGTGTTTCGTTGCAGCTGGCTCGTACGTGGTTCTGACGCTATTTGGTTGTACGGCCGCCGCCGCCGCTGCATCAGGCCTTCGGTGCCCGAACGTGCGCGAATCCTATCCTCCGGCTGGCAACACGTCGTCCGGTTCCGCGGCGCCGACTCGGAACGACAAGAATCACCGAAACTCTTCCTTCCCGAAGACCTCCAAGAAGATTATCACCGCCCCACAGCCTCTTGATGTACGTACGTAACGGCTAGGTGGTTTATGTAGTCAGGTTCTCCGCTTAAGTCTATTCATAAGCGTCCGCACGCATGCTCTATGTTTTAACGGTCCGTACCTCTCCCTCATATCTAAGCTTCGCTCACTTTTCGGTTTCGAGGGCTCGATAACTGTTCGGAGTTCAGAGATTTCAGGCCCTTTTTTCTCGTATCTCTGATAGTAGCGAATTTACTTTGAACGTAGTAATAAACGCAGTAATTTCACCAGCAGCCAATAATGTAAAACAACATGATGACGCATACAACTCGGAAGATTAAAGGTATATATACATATAGCTTATCACTTCATCAGATCCAATTTGTTTTGTGTTATCATCCAGTGAACATGTTCGTTTCGAGGAAGCATATTTTCCTCTTCTGGTACCTCACCTTATACGTTCTCTTTCTGAATTCCAGGATTCAGCAGTGCCAGTTGTTGAATGTTCCGGAAACAACTAAATAAATGCGCACTGTGATCACCTTCCATTGAGGTTTGCATAGCGTCCTCCTCTTGTCTGGTTCCTAAAACTGACCACAGTGTGTAGTAGTGAATGACACGGAAGCGTTTTGCGAAACCTCAGCTATCTTGCCATGTGGTATGGTTAGTTACACACTCTTCCAATGCTATTTTTCATACATAGCTGCGTATTTGTACTGCTTCGGTGTGTGTAGTACGCCCAACCTTGACCTTATGTCATTACTTGCATCTTCCTCATGCAAAACAACGACTGAAAATGGTGAGATATTCTCCTCATGCATAATTCTTTGCGTCATTTCCGTATCTGATTTTTTCTCATTACAGTATTTGCATATGTCCAACCTCTCTTGTTTACATTTTCATGGGAACTGTCTGCACAAACATACGGCTTTTCAATTCTTTGTACTTTTCCGTCAACCTTAGGGTGTATCGTCTTCATCTTCATCTTCTATCGCCGCTTCTTTCGGGTCGCGGAGGCAGACGCGTCGAGACAGTGCTTCCAACGTTCCCGATCCCGTGCCAAACTCTGAGCTTCGGCAGAAGACAAATGCAGTCTGGAACAGACTCCTTCCATATATTTGTGCCAGCTTCATTTTGGCTGTCCCCTGGGCCTTTTGCCGGTCGGATTTGCAAGGAACAGTTGCTTAGCCTTCCTTTCTGCAGGTATTCGCAACACATGCCTAAGCCATCGCAGCTATGACTTCTCAATCTGAAGAAGCAAAGGTTGTAATCCAAGGCTCTTCCAAATGTCACTGTTCCGGGCCATGTCGAGACGCCTAAGGCAAGCGACTCGTCTAAGAAAGC